CCCCAAAACCCCAAAACCCCAAAACCCCTTATGAACTAAAAATGAAAATTCCACAAAAATGTTTTAATAATTAATAGCAAGACTGTAAATATCAATTTGGTAAATGAATTTCTGTTAAAAGTTTGGAAGTATTATTGACCGGAATCTATGGCCATTTTACAGGATTGTGTCACTATATTTCCAAAATTCCAAAATGATAGTAATTAACAATTAAAAATACAAAGCAAAGTCTTGATGAATTATTTCAACAGATGCCTATCATAAAATTTCAGCTGTAACTACTCTGTCTAAATGCAAACGAATGACTAAAACTTCTATTAAACTAATTAAATATAAAATTTCAGCGATCAGCAGATTCCAGACTTAGATCAAGTCCTTCATTTTCCCTTTTATCTATATGACGACCAATTTTAATGGATTGGCTCTTTTGCTGAAGTTTAAGATTAAGAGCCACTACTATCCAAATTTTATGATCAAGAGACAAGTATAAAGCTTGAAAGATGCAATAATATAATAATACATAATTAGGCTTAGGGAAGTACAGGTTTAACAACTAATGCTATCAAAAACCCAGCTATCTAAGTCGATAATGTGTTAACCTCACCATTACAAACGTCTTTAGATTTTGCAACTTGTTATGATTTCTCATCTTCACATGAGTAAAAGAGATATTTTAGGGAAATTGAATAAGAAATCTTCAAAATATCTGGTTAATCACCCCACACACGTCTTGAAGCTTAATATAGATAGTTTTTTAGGTGGTTGATGAAGCTTTTGAGGAAAAATGAGTAATTTGGTACAGCTTTGAGAAAAGATTAATACCTTAAAAAATATGCACCTTATATACGAGACCTAAAGAAAAGCCCATAAACATAGTAAAATTAATCTTAAGGAAGTGAGAACCTATTCTAAAATGAGCCAATATTAGACAATGATCTATTGGAATTTCAATACTTTGATATTAAATTGAATTGCTGCAAAAAAATGAATAGAGCAGACATAGTAGAGTATTTTAGTTACGATGTTCTCAGCTACTTATTTGAATTTATGCTTCCTTATATTGATGTTAACTAAAGAACCTTCAGCGAGAATACACATCTTGCAAGAAGGGTCCTAGAACAAATCAAATTCAATAGTTGCGGCTCTCAAGAGGCTATTATCGAAAGAGAAAATAGCAAAATTCTAACATGACTTAAATTAATATCTTTATATTCATATTTTTTGTTGTTTTAATAACTAAATTTGTATTCCTAATGCATATTCTTTACATATTAATACTTATTTCAAATTTCTAATAGATTTTAAATGATGGGGTTTTGGGGTTTTGGGGTTTTGGGG